AACATCCTCAAGTACACCTCTAGACTTGTGTACGCTGAGAAAATTGAGCTTGGCCAAACCATTTTCCTGAAAATCGAAAATTGTTCGGGATGCCCAAATTTCAGCCATATGTCAGTCCGGCGAGGCAGAATTTCAGAATAGGAAAAGTGATTTAGGAACCGAATCAGACAAGCCAAAAGGGTGCAAAAATAAAAATATAGATTTTGTTTTAACTGTTCCTCCTTTTCCCCCCTCTATTGCTTACTTGTCACTTGATCTGTGAATAAAATCAACATTTAACGAATTTCCCCCAGCTATCAATCAACTTGTTTTTTCCATCAATCATCTCTTTCCTTGGAACCACCTGTGCAATTCAGAATAATGAACCGAAACGAACATGTGCATCGATTGCCGACCAAAACCAATATCCAAGTCTATTCAAAACAGTGCAAACCAATAATTTACAAAAATATAAGGTCTGGTTTTTAAACAATGGCGATCTTGAAACACAAAATCTATTTATAGGCAACGTTCATTGTGAGACTTTTAAATTGTGTCACAAATTGCATGTTATATCCTCATGTATGACATGATCACTATAAGAATGGGTCTTTAGTGTCAAACAAGTTCATTCTAGATTAAATATTCACAGTTACAGATATATATATATATATATGTACTGAATACCATAGGAGGCTTATAAACACTTTGAGATGCTGTCTCTCTGGCTGTGCACTTATCACATTCTTAGTTGGGGATGTCACACTTGACCGATTGAGCCACAATCTGTCCTATTTAACCTCTAATCGACCTACTAGCAGTGGCGGATCCAGGGGGGGCAACGGGGCAATTGCCCCCCCCCCCACCTGAGAAAACCGAGGGTCTCCCTCTCCCCTGCCAGCACATGAAGGCGCCAGCCCTGCAATGTGCCTTCATGGACCGGAGGGAGAGAGGACCCGGGAGCTCAGCCTGCAGCTCCTCCGGATCCTTCTCTCGCAAGCACCACGGCAACTCTCCAGATCTCGCGAGAGTGAACTCTAGCCCTGGAGCGCGGTATAGAGTTCACCTCACCATTGGGCCACCAGGGAATCCCCACAGGACCACCAGGGACTAAGAAATGTCCCCCCTCCTCCTCAATAAAGGTAATAAGGGAGGACATAATGTATATTTATTTTAAGAAAAGAAAAAAAAACACATTATTAAAAAAAGCCCCCCTACCCTTCTTATCACACACACACACACTCTACACACATACACTGCCCCCATACACACACACTTCCCCCATACACATACACTGCCCCCATATACACACACTGCCCCCATAGACACACATACACTGCCCCCATATACACACACTGCCCCCATACACATACAATGCCCCCATACACACACATACACTGTCCCCATACACACACACTGCCCCCATACACATACACTGCCCCCATACACACACTGCCCCCATACACATACACTGCCCCCATACACACATTGCCCTACACATACACTGCCCCCCATACACACACATTGCCCACACTCACACATACACTGCAATCCTACACAAACACACTGCAACTGTAACACACACATACTGTCCCACACATACACTGCATCCCTGACATAAACTCCCGCCCTAACTCACACACTACAACCTTCACACACACACTGCTCACACACTGTCCCCCTCTCTCACACACACACACACACACTGCACCCCTTACACATTGCACCACTCACACACACCACTGCTCCTATGCCCTACTACAACCCCATTTCCCAGCAAACCTCAGGTAAGTTGTCAAACTGTTCTTAAATGGTTTGACTACTTACTCTGGGAGGGGGTCCCGGCACTATTGACACCATAACCACTACACTGAGCTGTAGTGGTTATTGTGTCTGGATTATTTCTTTAAATAATCTACAAGTGCCCCTCCCGAGATCAGGCTCTGGATCCGCCACTGCCTACTAGTTATTAGTTTGTCCAATGTCCACATCCGATTGGGGGTTTCTAGTAAATACTCACACATATGCAAACAGGTATTATTAGTAGAATTTATATAGCAATATAATAGGTGTGATTAGTTTTTTTTCTAAGTGTCCAAGGATAGCCAGAAAAAGAAATATATTTTATGAGTATACATTGGTCGTGCTTTTATGATTTTCAACACAATTCAAGGAAAGAGCAACATTGTGGCTAAATAAAACATAAAAACATAAAAAAAATAGCTGTGCTTGGGAATGTTTCCAATTTTCTCAACTTTGGTCTAAATTTTGCAATACCCTGATTAGTTTCTGACAATTCTTAGTTCAGTAAATTTTAAATATAGGATATATACCATTGGGATGACATTCTCAGAGTCTGGAAGTGGGCAGGTACACAGGAGTTTATTCACTAAATACGAAAATGTAGCAAATCGTAACAGAATTGCAAAATTCTGAGATTAGGAAAGATTCTTAAACAAATCTATAGCCAAGAATTTCAGCCTATTTTTTGCAATTCAAATTGTGTGATTAGTGAATACATTTCTTGGATCGAATAAGCAGATTGTTGGAATCAATAAGCAGGTTCTCTGGTGAGAATTCAAAGGGAATTTCAAAGGAAAAATAAGTCATCCATGGTTCTAGTTTGGCTACTTTGACCTAAAATGAGAAAATCACTTTGAATTCATTTAGAATTCTCTCTTTAGTGAGTAACGGTGAGAGACTCAGGCAAGGTGAATAGATAAACGCTCATATCAGGAGTAAATTGGCAAATTCCTATTTCCTATAGTGATTTGATGATACAAGGTTACCCAGCTGGAGCTCTTCTAATTTGTATGTAAAAAAATATACTTGAACAGGGTTGCATAACAGAAAATGTCTATAACTGGTTCACTACCAAAAGCCTATAAGATGTTTGGATTCAGCCAGACACCTTTATTTAAGGCGCTGGTCCACGCCCTTATGCTCTCTCGCCCTGACTGCTACAATCAGCTTCTTAGTGGTCTTATGTGCTCCCAACTTGTCCCATTACCGTCTATTATGAATGAGGTGAGGCTCATCTTCCTCTCCGTCTACACCTCCGACGCCTCCCCCCTCTGTCAGTTCCTACACTGACTTCTAATTAGCTATAGGGCTCAATTTAGAATTATTATGCTTGTTTACAAATCTATTCCAACCTACCTATCCTCCCTAATACACAAGTATGTCCCATTGAGGCCCTTACACTCTGCCGAAGACCTACATCTATCCTCTGTTCGTACTCTCACCTATGATGCTCGCCTTCAAGACTTCTCCAGGGCTGCACCGTTCCTGTGAAATTCCCTTCCCTTTTCCATTAGACTTTCATCCAGTCTCCATTCCTTCAAAATATCTCTGAAAACACACTTCTTCAGGAAACCGTATCAATTAAACTGCTAACAGTTTTTCCTCCCCGCACCCTGATTCCTCACCTGCAATTGTCATAAAAAACAAACACTAAGCCCTCAGTGAATACTATTCTAGCAACCTTTTCTACCCTACCCTTACCTTTGTGTCACTATAACCAACTACCTCAGGCATGTAGCTTGAGATCTGAACAGAGACCCACCAAAGGGCAGTCTATTTTAGCTGTTGCCTGTTCTCAGTATTATCTTGCACCTTGTTTTTTGCTCTCCCCAAGTTACAAGGGTAATCCAGATGTGGACCCCTTGCTCACGGTGCCTACAGGAATACCAGCTATACCTCACTGATGAGGCCTAACAAGGCTGAAACGATTGTCTGGGGTTGCTGTATCTCTGTGCAGACATGTGACCTGCAATTTGGGTCTGTTCTGCCCTCTTGGGTGGGACTAGTCTGAAACGCAAATGGCCCTGGTTCTTTTTGTAATGGCACAAGATGAGCTAAAACCAACTTGAGATCTGAGTGGGGAGATCTGAGTGGGGACCCACCGAAGGGCAGGCTATTTGACCTGTTGTCTCAGTACTCTCTCGCACCTTGTTTTTTGCTCTAGCATGTAAGCTCATCGAGCAGGGCCGTCAACCCACTGTTCCTAGCTTTCATGTTATCAATTAATAGTACATTACTGTCAGGAATCCGGGAACCTGAACACACAGACAGAATCACAAACAAGAATATTTGTAATACCGCTCCTCAGAATGGCCGGGGATTATACATCTGTGATCTGTGATTGGGTGAATTTCGTT